AGAGGTCCTGTGCAGCAGGTGTGTTTGCCACAGGGGGTTTCTCATTTTTGAAAGTCAGAAAAAGCCCACAGAGCCGCGAGGACTTCTGTAAAAGCGGCAGCTCCGGTTTTAGAGACGTTCCCGGCTGTGGGAAGGCTCAGTTCCTCTGCGGCTCAGGAAGCTCGCTCTGAACCAGCAGAAGAAAATAAAAATACAAGAAAAGAAGACAGCTGACGAGACGAAACCAAAGCTCTTTGTTACTTCCTGAAACACAGACACCCGAAGCCAGAACACTCATAAAAGAGACGGCGGCCGCTGGTCACCGTCACCACAGAGAAATGTTTCCCATTAGAGCCGGACGCCAGAGCCCAGCTGTTACTCTGAGGCTGGCAGCGAACAGCACCACAGTTTTCCATAACGTGAAGTCTCACACTCAAACAAATGTAAAGAAGTCGAGTGGACATGGAGCCGCTGCGTGTTTCAGAGCTCTGTGTCAGTGCCCGATACACGAGCTGAGCTCAGCACGCAGCGAGCCTCAGCCTGCACTTCCTGTTCCCTCGTCTGGAAGCCCTTTTTCTGATCCGAGGTCTCTCGTCAAGAACGTCAGACGCTTCCACAGCAGGGGACAGGCTAGCAGGTGGATACGTGAGACTACAGGAGGTGGGCGGAGCTTTAGAGGTGATGACAGTGAAGTCATGTGACTGTTTGCAGCCCTGCAGTGTTTGTTTACAAAAATCATAAAGGTGCATCCTCTTTATCTAGCTGAACATGTAGCTATGACTTCTGTCAACAGGAAACAGGATTTATGGACACATGTAAATAGAGTTTATGCACCGCTAACGAGCATGAAAGTGAATCTGAGCTGTGAGCAGCTCTGTGAGGATCTCCAGGCTTCCTGAGAAACACTCAAAGCTCTTCTTTGGATGTTTCTGCCTGTGTTCTGTTCTCTGTCAGGATCAGTCAGAGAGACTTTATTTACTGTAAGGGGCAATTAAGATAGATGCCCTGCCCACCGTACATACAAAACACAAACATCACATTGGGGAGACCGGTCAGGCTAGGTAGCACTGGCCGGTCGACCAACGAGCAGCGACCCGGAACCGAAACAATGGAAAATGCACAACACGAGGAAAGACGAGGAGAACAAAGACTGAACTCCAACGGGGAGATCGGTTTGAGAACAGAAAAAAACACAGCTGATGATAACCAGATGTTTCCAGATGTTCCTGCTGGTGGATCAGACTCTGACGGAACTTTTCAGAGTTTGTAATTCAGTTTATCAAAGATCTCGGCAACACTGACGACCTGCAGCTGGACCCACGACAGCCACGCTTCACTGGGACGTCCTCACTGGGACGTCTCTGATGAGGCTTCAGTGAGCAGCAGACCATCAGCCTGAAGGTCTCTCAGCTCCTGTGTCACTTGGAATCAGTTTGTTGGTGCAAAAATCCTGTTTGTATGTCAAACTGTGTTTGTGTGACAGGCTGCTGGTAACAAAATTAAGTTGTGTGTGTGGACACAACGCTGGTCGTGCTTTATTGGGTCACAGCTCAGAGTTGCGGGTGAACTCTGTGGTCAGGTGCGAGGACCGGACTGGAGTGAAAAAGCAGCCGATGTCCAAAGAAAGAAACCGTTGCTCATGTACATTTCAAACATTGTGCGGCTGCTTGGAAGGAAAAGGTAAAAAACAAATGGGGGGGAGGCTCAAGACTTTTGATAAAGCTGGGTGTGGCTTCTGTGGGTCTCCACTTACTGAGCGTGCACCATGTCCTGCTCCAACCTTTGTTACCCAAAGCTGAGATGGTGACGTCCAGAATGTCTCCACAGGTGCAGTCCACCAACGGGTGACATCACGGAGGCTCCTCCCTTTCCCCCGATTGGCTGCGGGCAGAAGCGTGAGGCTGTTCGCCGCCAGCTCAGCATCTCGTGTCTCTAACGGGTTTCTTACTGATTAAGTGTCTCCAAAAATAAAAGAGCAGATTCACACTTTAATCACACAGTTCCAGGAAGGCAGCGTTTACACGGCCGGCTGCAGGTCACCGCGCTCTGTTCTGCTTCCTCTTTTTGTCCTCGCAGTGTGACTCTGTTCCCCTCGCGTCTGCTTTCAGGCCGAGCCGCTTGGCGTTAGGACGAGCAGAGCTAAAGCTGCTGTGTTTTCACCTAGTGGACATTAGAGCAAGTGCAGCGTGATGCAGTTTTCTGTCTGTGAAAGCACGATGATGATAGCGATGGTGTTGCCGTACGTGAGCTTGACGTGTTGAAATGAGCGCCACGCCTCTGCGCTCACGCAGCCTGCAGTGGAGTTCCTGCTATATTTCAACATGAAACCACAGCGGCGTGTTCCTGCTGAGGGCTTCCTTTTTTCTGAAGCTGCGAGCGTTACAACAGGACGCCGTTACAACACTCCAACAGCCGGGTGTGCTCCACCGGCGTCCTCAGCAGTAGAAGTGTGTCACTGCGTCATTTCTCTCAGACGTCAGACATGAACTGTCTGATAAACACATTGGCGAGCTGCGGCGGTCCCGTGACACCCCCATCCCCACCCTGACCACCCTAACACAGTCCCGCAGCTTCCTGTTGAAATAACGGTGAAAACTGACTCTCCTACAGCAGCTTTGCATGACTCACTGCTTTAAATAATCCTTCTTTGTCTTTAAAACAAGCTGCTTTGCTCTTTAGGCCCCGCCTTCCTCTCTGCCGGTTGGGTGACTTCTGGAGGCCAGCTGATGAGCGACGCAGGCCTGCACAGACGTCTGGGCTCATGGCACCGAGCGTTCACTGTGTTTGAGTACATACAGTCTGTGCCAATATATTAGGTACACCTTTTCTTCAGCACTGCTTCGATTCTTCGCAGCTCAGATTCAAGGCGGGGCCGGAAACATTCCTCAGAGGTTCTGGTCCATGTTGACATGACATCATCATGACATCATCAAACAGCTGCTGCAGATGTGTCTGAATGTCGCAGCAGAAATTGAGAGGAGAGGTTTGCCCAACAACCAATCACAGGTCGTCTTGGCCGTGTCTCTGTGTCTGAATGAGTCGAGTTGCTGCCATGCGATTGGCTGATTGAATAACATTGTTAATGACCAGCTGAACAGTACCTCGCCATCAGCGCTCAGTTTTCCTTCAGACGTGTACATGTTCTTGTGGCGCTACAGGGGTCAAAGGTCACAGCTCTGCGCTTGTGTCGATGCGAGCGAGAGAAGAATAAGCAGGAAAAGCGTGAGATCAGAGGTTAAGGCTTCCAGCAGCAGTGAGCTCAGCTGACCTCCACCCATACGGAGCGAGGGGAGGATGGGGTTGGCGTCCCCAGAGTCTGGGCTGAGCCTCGCTCTCCGCCCACACATCTGGAGAGCGTCTGCAGACCGCCTGTCGTCAGCGCTGTCGGTCCTCGAGTGTGCGAAGTCAGACTACGAAACTGAAACTTTCACTGATAGAAAAACCACAGAGAGGCTGAAACGCCTCAAACGACTGCGAGCAGCTGTGTTTTCATCCAGATTAGACGCACAGCTGGAGACGGCGTGCTTCACTCCTCTGCTGGTGTACAACTGTTATTACTGAATGACAGTAGCCACAAAACACGACCTAAAAGCTGCAGAAACAGACGACGGCACACAGGCCGAACACGGCTCAGACCGGCAGCCCGTCTCATTATTGCTAGAATCACGTTTAAGATGATAATAAAACAATGAAATGTTACGTTTCAGTTTTTTGCTGCTCGTCATGGAACCGCTGAGGTCATCATGCACTGCTTTCCTTTTCTTCTTCGTTGGTGCTGCTGCTGTTTTTCCTCATAGACAGTTTTTGGAGTTTGTGTCCAGAAATCAGAAGTTCAGACTCGATCAGGAGGATGAGACTGTGGAGTGAATGTGGGTCTGGACTGTGGGGAGGAAGAACTCCCTGTTAACAGGAAGGGACTTCCGGCACAGTAAGGATCAGGCAGGGGGCGTGTGGTTGGCAGTCCTGGGTGATCTCTGATCTGATGCTCTAAAACCATCGAAGGCCTCAGCCACACAGACCTGGACGCTCGTTCTACTTTTAAACCGGTCTGCAGGCATGTGTGTGAGGGGGGTCAAATATATGGGCCGGGGCCTAAAAGAGGCCCGCCAAAGGGTCCAGTGCACGTTACACAGTTACACACTGTGACTCGCCCACGGTGTGTAACTGTGTGTTCTTCTTCTTTCTAGCGTTTTCATGTCTTCCTTTATTCCATCCATCCACCGTTTCGTTGGCCTGCCACGGGGTCGCTGACCTCCGGGCTCAAGCCTCATTGCTGTTTTTTCCACTGAGCTGTCGTCGGAGCGTAATACGTGTCCGCACCACCGTAGCCGTGCCTCGCACATTTTTTTCCGTGATTGGTGCGATGCCGAGCCGCTTTCTGACGTCTTCATTCATGACTTGGTCCCAACGCGTGAGGCCTAGACACCACCTGAGCATTCGCATTTCCATCGTGTGCAGGGCCTGTTTGTGCGTGGCGGTGGCTGGCCAACACTCCGATCCATACAGGGCAACTGGGCGGACCACAGTCTCGTAAATCTTGAGATGGTCTGGCATTCCACGGTCACTTAGCCCACCAGTCACTTGACGCCACTTCGTCCATGCGGCATTGACCCTTGCTCGCACGTCCTGAAGGATATCCCGTCACCACTGATCATCGATCACAAGTACTTGAATCGGTCAGCCTTCTTCAGGTCTTCCCCGTCGATGTTAATGGTGCCATCAGTTTGGGGGCCAGCTTCCACGTACTCGGTCTTCTTGATGTTGAGTCTCAA